GTTGCGGTCTCGAGAAGCGTCACGAGATGCAAGAAAAGTCATATGACTTGCAAATGCTCGTAAAACAAAAAGGGAACAAAGATGACAGAAACCGCAGCAAATGTTCTCGCTGTGAATCTTGGAAATATTTTGCGCATGCATGCCCGTATCGGAATGCTGTCTGCCACAGAAGCAAGAAGCAAGGTCATCTGCAACGAGCTTGCAAGAGTTTTCCGAGAAGCGAGAAACCTTCGAAAGAAAAGTACAAGGGTTTCAGAACTTTAAAAAACAGAAGAAAAAAGTGCAGGAGTCACCCATCCACACGATGAGACGAAACAGAAAGAACCAGCCTTACTGCGTAACTGTTTACAACCAAAAGAAGCCATTGAAGATGGAACTGAATGCGGGTTCTGATGTTTCGGCGATGTCAAAGCGGCAGTATCAGGAAATGTTGCCGTTCGTGAAGTTGACCACACCAACAGTGATGCTCCGCACATACACGGGTGAAGCCGTCAAGCCACAAGGTGTGGCGAGGGTCAGCGTGCATCACCAAGGTTTTGAAGGGACGCTACTACTTCACATACTGCGGCCATTGATGGGAAGAGACTGGCTGTCGAAGATCAAGTTTGCCTGGACACAGCGTTCAAGTTCATGAAAGTAGGCACAAAGAACATGCTCTGTGGCCTGCTAGAAAGGCCCGATGAGTTGTTCCGAAACGAGCTTGGCTACACTAAAGGAGAAGAGGCACAACTCCATTTGAATATAGGAAGCTCACCAAAGTTTTTGAAGGCACTGAACATGCCGTTAGTGATATTCTATTTAATAAGTTCCTTTGTGTTTCACAGAGAGGTATCACTTTTGCAAATTTGTCGAGAACAATATGTGTGTGATGATAAGGGGTTAATAAGCTTCTGTGAGAGTTTGAAAATAATTTCGTTCGCCCATGTATGTGTTTGAAGCTAATCCTGCCGATAATCTCAATACAAAGCGAGCGCATAGGCGACCTCCGGCAGATACAGAGCAGGTGCATATGCAACATCAGGCCGATACGTGGCGACAGTCCGACCTGGGCAGTACTCGCACGATATCCCGCCAATACTAAGCCGGTGGCGAACCGGCGGTACGCCAATGCCTGTCGGATGTCGGGACGTGTTTGCCAATTCGCACATTCGGCCCATATTGGAGCTGGTTTTCGACCGACATTGTCACAACACTGGCCGAGTATCGCCGTGCTGCTTGAGACGAATTTACGTAATTTGTTTTTTCAGTCGTTTCATTGGGTCTCGGGATACAGTGTAATTCCGAAAAAGAAAGTGTACTGTGGTAATTAGACTCTTACGACGAGGTATTCTGTGGTTTTACGACTTTATAAAAATGTGTACTGCTGTAACTCACCTTTTAGTAGAGGTGTTAGAAAAATCACATTTATTTAAGGGTGTGAGGTTCCACCCATTTTCTAAGGTTTATCGCTGCACGTATAAAAGTGTTAGTTACGGGACAGGCCCCTCACACCGAGAAAGGTGTGAAAACGTTTAGTGCGTAGGTATCGTCCTTGAAGCGTTTCCTCGAGAAAGACTAAGCTCCTGCAAGTTTCTTTACATCAGCACAAAGCGCAGGCATTTTCAGCCTATTGGATAAACATTTGGCGAACCAAATTGTAGCCAATGTTAGCCTGCTTGCAGTCGTGCATTTTCCGTTGAGCTGGCTCATGACACGGCGCGACCTGCTTTCGACCCCAGAATTTGTTGAGAGGGGCGGCCGTTATAGGCCTCTGGAGTTGCGATCAAAACAATCGTGTTTCGTCTGCCGCATGGAAAATGTAGACAAACGTTCGACGTAGTTTGCAACGGAACAATTACAAGTAAGTAAATATATTTTCACGCAGCTTTCCGAATCGTGATTGGTCTTCACAGCTACGTCATGAGACACTCTACCTGATGCCAACAGGGTAGGGGCTATCTGACTTTCTGCCGCGCTGCCGCTCTATGTTACTTTCATTGATGCGACTATTCACGGTATAAATATATGTAGAGAAAGATTAACATGACTGCTATGGGTAATGCCTTGCATGGGGAAGTAACGCGGGACACTTGAAACGCGGCACACACCTTTGGTGAGCGCGGGGAACACCAACTAATCTGATGGCGAATTCGCACGGTTCTTTCTACGCGCTCTCGAGCGCTCTTTCCACAGCGCGCGAGATCTAAGAGGTTGAAAAGGAGTGCTGTGGCGCCTGGTTGTTTCCGAGGGCGTTCCTTGCTCTCAGAGCGCCCCCTATCACTCCGTCTCTAGCCGTCGGAGTGCGGAGCGGCGCAGGCGTCACGTGGTGCTTGGACGGGGATCACGTGGTTTTGCTAAGGATGGCTGGCAGTGGTCTACGGTGGTGCGGTGGGTTCGGCATGAGGGCGATGGATATCTGGTTCTACAAAGTGCTTGTGCGTTCGACGGGGCGAGAATTAGAGCGGACGGGACGACATTTGCTTGTGGCCGTCACAGAACTAGACGTGGGAAGCATTCCCAGTGCTTTTACGAGATCGCTCACCTCACGGCGGTGAACCCACTGAGCCGAACTGATGAAGAAACACCTCGCAGAGCTCGCCGCTGTTTTACAGGGTTTTATAGGCATTCCAAGGAAATTTCAGGTTTGGTAAAAGTGTGTTCGAAGGATTTTGTTGGAAAATGAATGGAGATCCGACTATAATGCATTGAGATTTATGTCACACGGCGATACGTGCTATGTCCTGTGGGTGATGCTGGCATGATATTCCGAAGTAAGACAAACGCGGTTTATTAACCATTTGATATTTGCCTGTTCTGCCGTACGCACGACCGCCATCGGAGCGCATTCACTGTCGAAAACGTCATTAGTTGAGAGCTCTTCCCAAACAGAGGCTTCTTGCTCTGTTCTGTGAAAATTAATTCGCAAGCTGCTGATATTTATTTTTTACGTGTTGATGCACAGTGTAAACAGCCGTCTTTTCATCGCGATGCGAGCGTAGATATTGCTTAATGGTCCATCGTACACTTTAAAAACTTGTTTTTTATACATCACGAATCTCAAGAAGATTTACTACTTCCGTGACTGGTCCGCCAATGTCAGAGCCCCCTGAGCCCAGTAGTTGTGATCGGCTGAAAAGGATCCCGAGTAGCTTTGACGGCTAGGAGGGAGCGCTTTGTTGAATAAAGGTCAGAGGAAAGGACGACCACTTGGGTTCACCATGAGTAACACAGGGTCGGAGAAACCACAAGCGCGATCGAAGCCCCTCGAACTGGCCCGCCACGCAGGTCTGCTCCTGAGGTGCAGGCGTCACCCAAGACAGCTAGATCGTGGTTGCACCACGTGCCCCCGAAGTCGGGTTCCGCAAAAATCGGCTTGGAAACGTATCGCGCTTCGATTTACCCGAGAGTTGCCTAAAGGTGGTGGAAGCATCGCATCAAATTTATGATGAACGAACTTACGTAAATAAAAAAAGTAAAAAAACAACAACAACAACAAAACGATAACTGTTTTTATTCACCGTCTGTTAACCGCGCACCGCCTGACTTGGGCAACAGCCGACAGATGGCAGCAGCGCGGCCTCGGCGGCCGGCGGCAGAGCAGCAGCCGCCCGGTCACACCAAAAGCAGATAATCTTTTTGAATCCTAAACGGATAGTGCTTTTTCGGTGCAATGATGGTCAGTGTATGATTTTTTTGATTGCCAATAACACACGTTAAATGGACATATAATAAATAAAACTGACGGTTTGTCGAGTAATTTCAGCGACATGTCGTCTGGTGTTTGTGCGACCGGGCTGCTGTTGAGCTGCCGTAAGCCACCGTAGAAAAAGTTTTCTAAGTGGCTGTAAAATCCCCAGAAAAAAGCTTCCTACAAGTAGCGGCATTTTTTGAAGCGCCGAATGTGTGACGGTGGAGGTTTTGGGAAGTGAATGGCGGCGCACAGCAGAAGACTGAAATGAATGACACCATTTTTTTCCAGCGGAATGTGCTTTGTCATTTTTGATGGTTGTCGTTTCTTGTCACAGAAGTATCAAGGGACTTTAGGTTACTGGGGCCGCTTCCACCATCTGTCGGTTGCGCCAGTCAGAGGGAACGTACGCGGTTACTGTCGGTGACATTTTAAGAGTGAAGTGGAAGGTCCTCATACTTCTTTTCACTTCAGCAAAGCGAACGCTGGAGTTGAGGTAGCATATTCTCCAGCGTACACTTTACTAAAGTCGAAAGAGGTAGGAGGAGCTTTCACTTTTCTGTTAACCTGTCACAAACCATAGGTATAGTTCTTCTTCAGTTCTTACGTAGGTAAGAATCTTCTTAAACATTTTGATGGGATGGTTTTATCCCCTTCGGAAACCTCAGTGGTAAGTCGTGGCATGATACACAGGCCGATTTACGCCGTCAGTTTGAAGGCTTCACCCGTATTTGTGGGCACTAGGTATATTTCACCATAATTACGGGCTTTGCCCGTAATTATGGTGAAATATAAAATAGAGAAAATACCCAATCAATAACAGACAAAACAATTCGTCCCAAAATGCGAAACGTCTGTTGACGCACCATTTAGACGCTGCACACTGAGCTAATAAAAAGCGCATTTCTAGTTCAAGAAAAGTTATAACATTAAGCAATTAAAAATTATGGTAAACATGGGGGGCGGTGGAGTCCCCCTCAAGAACATGGGCAAGAAACACTTCAAGGGGCACGTTGTTTTTGTAAGCTATGTACTACTAGACACGATACAATGCACTAAGGAACCACTGCAGAGATACTTGTGTCTGCCAATCGGAGAAGCTAGGGCCTGCGGGAGCGGGCGTTTTGTTCTAGCACGCGCTAACACCATTCTACCCTTCGCGCCTTTCTTCTTTTTTTTTTTTGTGTGTGCGCGGAGAAACGCGTTTTGTTGACTTGCTTGCTTTATGTACCAGAGAATGGTCATTGCAACATAATAGTTTTTTTTTTTAGTTTAGTGGGTATAAAATAATTTCTCTAGAGAGATGAAAACAGCTGCATAGAACGGTACTGACCTTTGACTGCTTCTTCTCCAAGAGAGGCCTGAGGGTGTATGCAACGGGATTGTCCTGGTGGTAGATGCCGAACTTGCTTTCCGTCCAGTACGGGAACTTCTTGCCTTTGGTCATGGTCGAGTCAAAGTAAGCAATCTCTCCTCCATGCGGATTTATATATCTCGAGGGGGGATTCTTTCTTGGTTTCATCTTAGGAAGTTTATAGATAACAAACCTGTAAGAAAATGCGTGCAGCAAAAAACCGTAGCATTGCATTTTGATTTGCTTTTGAAATTTGCAATTTATTCGGCTGTAAGAGCAATGCATGCCGAGTGGCGGCCTCCAATAAGCGGAACATAGACCCTACGACGTTGTTTTTTTTTTTTTTTTTTATTACATTTGTTTGTGGAACCTGACGCAAAATTGAAGCAGTAACAGACCCAAAAACCAATGTGGTAGTTTGGCCCGTCAGCAAACGAATACATTTTAATACGCTAGTATGCTTGCTATTAAACGTCGTACAAACGAGTAGGAAAAAGGCATCAGCGGATCATGGCACATTTCCCGTTTGACTGACAGAATAAACTCACAAAGCGTTTTGAGCTTATCAAGTTGAAATAATTGGTATATAATGTTGTAAACACACTGTACTGAAAAGGCACTTACAAAAGTAGTCAAACGTCGCCTGTGAATGGAGGTAAAGCAGACCGTTTAGAACAGGTTGTCTTTGCACGCTGGATTTCGGCCTATAGACGCTTAACAGCAGCTGTGCATGGGTTCCGCCATAACCGACCTTCAGTTTTTAGTTTCCTCTTATTCCCTTTACTTCACTTCATTATGATTATAGCAGGCCAGGTTATCGCCATTTTAGATTCTAGTTTGTCCTTCTCCCCAGCATCGGCGTTTGTGGGGGTTCGTCAATGCCCGTTTCAATGGCTCTGTGTCTCGGTGAGGCAAAAGAAGGTCAGCAATGGCGGCCGTAATCTAGGCCGTGTGTAAAGCGTCTATACGCCCCGAAGAAGCCTTGCTAAATATTCACGTGTTCTAAGCTCTGAGGTATGTAAACTGCAACTAACAGATCGCGAAACTAGTCACGAAGTTGGAGATGCCCAGGCTTATTTACCCTGGTGTAAGTACAATAAAAGATAAAATAGGCCATATCGCTGTGTGTTCTTATTAGCTCTATATAAACCTAGATGTGTTACAGCCAAGCTTGACAAGTGCCGCCCGTGTTCTTTGTGCGCGCGAGGGACCAACGCGAACTTTGAAGAGGCTGCTCAGTCCAGCTTGCAAGTGTCGGTTCCGTCACGTTCTCACGAAAAGGTTTTGTTAATACTAAATGTAAACAGAATACAAACTGCTGCTGCTGGTTTTTCATGCAATTTTGTTGATTTACGTTAATACCAAGATATGGAGTCAGCCGTTAGAGCAGTTATGGTAATGAAGAAGAAAGAAAACTCCGCAACGCATGCGAAGCAGTTGAATTTATGTCATGCGGGATAATCGAAAAAATCTGTTGCCATGAAGCTGGCTACTTTTAAAAAGCTCCGGCGTTGTTTTTTTTAGGCTATCTGAACTATACATGATTTCAAAATAACTAAGCTTGACTTTTTCTCAGCATGCTCTTTATTATATGTAAATTCAAAACATTTATTGAGAATACGCCAAATGTAGGTTATGTCAAAAGAAACAGTCTATATTTTCGCACTTTCTACTAGGGTGACGTCCTATTGCCACGTGCGTCGGCGAGTGAGCGCGCGCGTGGCCGAGTGGTTCCCGCGCTTGACTTTCGCGCGGAGGCGCAGGGTTCGATTCGTGGGAGTTATGCGTCTTTTATGTATTCTTTCAGTATACAGTTCTGTTGAATTTGAGAACCCTGTGTCTTGTTCAAGGTCCGAATGTTCTAGCCGCCGAAACTTCAACGCCGATTGTTCCAGAAGCCTACGCGTGTACATTAGGCGAGCCGCAGTCAGTATCGCCCCAGCGTTCGATCTTGCTGTTACGCCGACTTCCACACCTGCGACGCTCTGGTGTTATCTGCTGTTCACTCTTTGTTTTGGGCGCAGGTTCGACCCATTAAATATTTCAGTTACCTCAGCTTCTTCTTTTTTTTTTTTTTTTGTCACTTTGTCATTCGTGACAATATGTTTTGTATCCCGGAAAGTCGAGCAGGCTTTGGCGCCCTTTGTTTTTTGTTGCGGTTGTTTTGTCGGCGTTAGTTTTTCCACTATTCATTTCACTTCATCAAATTTATTAAAACCGTGAGAAACGAGCTGTGCCGACCTCATATTATGACACTTGGCGTCACGTTTTAGCACTGCCTGTAGGGCATCTTAGCGTGTCAGACCAAATCTAAAAAATTCATGACGTTGCTAAAAACAAATTATTGTGTCTGGTAAGTTTTGTTACCAGTTTAGATTTGCCGACTAAGGTCTCGAACCAGTTTTTGAGGAGGCGGATTGACTATGAAAGTTTTGCCGGAATAGTAATACTTAACGAAGCAATGGTGAGGGTGCAGGCTAGCTGGTGTAAATTGAGCATAGTTGTAAACCCGAGACTGGGGATACGGACAAGGGACAAAACACAGAACGACACGGACGTCTGCCCAGGCCCGCACTGGAGCAATCACGGGAACGACGTTCCTTCGATTCCCTGGTGATAAGTAATTTGGGCCAATTTGATGCTTACAGAATTTTGAGTGTAATGCGAAGTCATCGTGAATAATCGTCGTGTAGATTGCAGAGACCTGTGATATCACTTTTGAAATATATCGTCAATGTCTGCGTTTTTCACACTGTGCATGCAATTCACTCTTCAACCGTGCCTGAGCTGCAGAAATCACTTACAATATTATCATTCTAGTGATTGTTGTTTTAGCAGGAGTATTTTTGAAAGCCAAGAATTCACAACAACCTAACCCGGGATTTAGCTCGGAGCCAGCGGGGTTGTTTATAAAATTTTTAGCGTTTCTAATCGAATACAAGCGTCTTTGAAGCTGTACGAGAATAATAATACTGGAAGAGATTTTTGCAGCTCGGCCAGGTCGAAGCGTAGCAGAGTATCAAAAACGTAGACTTTGATGGGAAATTTGAAATGTGATACGACAGGTCTCTTTAAGCTACACGGCACTTATTCACGATGACCCCGGATTACACTCAAAAATGTGTAAGCATCGAATTGGCAGAAATTACCGATCACTAGGAACTGAAGAAACAAAGTTCCCAATATTCCTCGAGCGCGGGCTGGGGAGCTTGGGTGGTTTTCAAAATTATTTATATATGTGCGAAACCATCATGCGCCGAGGGAAAGGCATACAGGCACCGCAACTTCCTCGCAGTGAATGCGTGCTGAACTTCGTAAATTAAAATACGACGGCCGGAATTTCAGCTGTTTCCGTCTTCAGCATGTGTTTTTCCGACGCTGCGCCGCAGCGTACGTGGCCGTGCAAAATTCCTTCGTGACCGCCAAAAAAGATTACACTTGTTTACAATATGAATTGTAATTTTAGAGTGTTTTAATTCGAAGCCAGATGTACTATGGTGCTAATTTTGACGTGTACGGTTCAAAACATTGTATGATTCATATAAAAAGTATTAAATAAAAAAAAACGCAGCCGAATATTTTTTTTTATTGTAGAGGTGTCACCAGATATATGATTTGGCGTGTGATCTTTTATATTCGATTTATCATAAAGTCATTTTTTATTAGCACCCTCAAAATATCGGTCCATTCCTCCCCCCTCTCCCTCTGAAAAACAAAATAAATAAAGGATTGAAATGAATTTATATTTTTGTCTCTTTCAAATGGGCATCCTTTCTACCGAGAGTTTCGCACACGCTATTGTTGATAACAAAACAGACTTGATAACTCGGTAGAACACCGGAAGATAAACCGTACGAGTACTTGAGGCACATTTTCTAATCACAGTTTAGTAATTAGTTGAACAACATTGTTTTGAAATCACTCACCAATCCACATCCTTTCCCTCGTTGTTTTTACAGTAAACATGGTGATGGTGATTCACGTCGGCGGAGTTCACCATCTCCACGAGTGTAAGTACAGTAAGGAGACATCTGACGATGTACCACATGATGTTATCATTTTCTTTGCTCTAAAGAAAGTACTCTATAGCTGACTCCACTCAAGAAAGACATACAATAAAAACCTCCTACTTCACTGTCACTGGTCAACCCTGTTGAAGGTCAAATTACAAATTTGTTCAGTAAAGTTATTATTTGTTTTTTTTTAAAGGCCCCTAACTTTAGTGTTCGCAGTTGCGATAATAAATGACATTTGCAGCTCCCATATTGTGATTGACCTTTCTTCATTTCGCTTGCAATCGTTGGTTGCTTGAGCTATATGCATGCGCGGACGCACGCATGAACACACCGAGAAGAGCTCGCACAATTTTATGAGTATACTTAGGATGTTCGCAAGTCATTGAACGCACCTACCCAACAGCTTGCGTAAATACCACGTAAGCATGGTTCAAACAGCGTCGTTTTCTTACATTTCTTACGTTACGTATAAGTTGCCGAAATATTCGTGCCTCATATGTGGCCACTCTGTCTCCATGCAGTGGTAGCTACGCTTAATATGAAGCACGTCTATTCCGAAAATTGTGGCGTAAGCAGACGGAAGCTTCCGTAACGCAAGGCAACCTAAGCAAACGGTACTGTGTGAACCAGCCTTTATTTTTGAGTTCTGACAAAGCAAGAGTTTGGTGAAACCGCGGCCTACTGTAATCCTAACTTGCCCACAAAATGACTTCGTATGGGAGGGGCTGTCGCCGATAGGGTGCCTTTTTTTACCATTTAGGGAGCTCCGTAAAGAAGTTTCTGCGACACACAACCCAGAATAATCCAAACCCGTGCATTAGAATTTTGACGTCATCACAGTGATATCGAGCGAAGACAGATTGGATACGATTGCTGCTTCGGTGCTCGGATAGGCCTCGTGTCCAATAAACGCGTCGAAGGACTCTCGGTATCGCTCTCGGGTCCAATCTCTTAGTTGGCGCCATCCGACTGTGAGGTCGTTCCAAGAGGGAAAAGTGCGGCCGCTCGGAGACCTTCATTATTATAGATGGTGTTGCCCAAACAAAACTCAAAATATGTCTTGTGCACAGCTCCTTCCAGCTGGTTACCGCAATGTCGCCCTCCGGGAACAAGTTCGAAGCGCATATCCAGTCGTAGAGCGGCGCCACTAGAAGGACCGTACCCCAGAGATGGCAGTAATGATATTACTGTAATGAAATTAGCGGAATTGAATTACTTGTTGTGGCAATGAGTAATGGGATGATTTACTTTTCTAGGCTGATTATTTAGTAATGGAATCAATTACGTTGAGGCGGTATTTTCGCGAAAATTACTAATTGCTTTTTAAATTACTTTTGTTCTAAATAAAAAAAAAAAGTTCGTTTGCGAGCTCCAAACAAAAAGAGAAAATGATTTTTCACGGTGAAATTTCGTAAAAAAAGACATCAGGGAAAATCAATGACTGCCATCTGCTCGCAAAGCCACGTACGAAGAACTAGACAGACGCACAAAGGCGGACTGTAAAGGCGAAGATAAGGTTACGTGTAAAGACGTCGCTGGAAGTCCACGGCTTACGAACAACAAGCAAGAACGATTCACGGCATCATGTCCTTCCGATGAGACTATACTTCACCCATGTCTAAGCTGACAGTGCGGCGGGAGCTACGAGCTCACCAGAACAAATCAACCCCCTTCGTTTCCTCACCTGACCAGTCCCTTTCTCTGCGCGTGCGTATGAGCTAGAGCGTGGTTACGTGGCAAAGAAAGACGTGTGACTGCTTCAATGAGCATCTAGCTTCCACCGCACTGTCAGCTTATGAATCAACGGGTTATAGGCTATAAGACGAAAGGCCACATCGCCACTGAGGTCAACACATTTTAAAATCTGAGAGGACAGGAAAAAGAGATCCCCAGCTTTCTTCCTCTTTTGTCCAGAAAGGTCAAACCATAACCTCCGACCGACCGCTGTGAACAACAAACCGCCGGAATGAGTTAATTCCAAATGCTTTGTCAAGGCCCCAGAACAGCCGCCTCGGTGGCTCCGAGGCGAGAGCGCCGGCCTACGGATCCCCATGTGGCTGGTTTGAATCCCGGCCGAGGTGCCCGCAATCTGACGGAGGCTTATTGCGGAGAAGGTGCCGTGTAACCGAGCTTTCGGTTGCACGTCAAGAGATCCCCAGGTGGTCGAAATTAATTTTCAGTCCTTCGCTGGGGCGTGCCAGATGCCCGTCGTTGGTTTGGCACATAAAACCCCCAAATTTGACTTTTTTTAAAAACCCCAGAACGTTTGGGGTGATCCTTTGGTCTCGTTAAGTAAATGTGATTTTTGTGGTCGTCAAAGACGGGAATCGGGCAAAGCAGGTGCCGCTCGCGGTATGCCTCGCTGCCTTTCCTTGAGAAGTTTATTCCCGAATAAGCCTACGAGCAGATGTCGCCACCCGTTTGTTGGGAAAGTACAGATTTTAGGAAGCTCGCGACACTTCTTTCTTTAACTGGCGACCCTTACGCACGGCAAATATCCAGCCCCATTGTGTGACAACGCGCAATAACTTGGGCTCTTCAGCTGGCGCGGACGGCCACGTTCAGCTATTGCCGAAGTTACGGACGCTGACGATATACCCCGTGACCCAAGTAGCGGCCAGGCTCTTTAAATCGACCGAAAAAGTCGGTTTCTTAACTTATCGCGTTCCGATTTTGTACTGCGTTGGCCAGAGATCATGCAGTGTTTCTATGAAATTCGCAAAGAGCGAACTTGCCTGAGAAAAAAGTAAGAAAAAGAAAAAGGCTTAACTCCTATGGGAACGCAGCGAAACCACCCGTCTTCAAACCATTGGGCGCCCTATGGTTTGAAGACCGGTGGCTTCGCTGCATTTCCATGGAAGTTAAGCCTTGTAGACGCTTCTTGCTGCTTAAGACGTTTTGATTCACGATCTGCTTTCGCTGGTGACTGCTGCGCCGCTTGGCGGGGCATCGCCGGGAGTGCGAAGCTCAGCGCGGCGCGTGCTGAAATCACGTATCCTCTCATTACATCATCGCTCTAGCTGCGTGTACACGTTAGAGCTCAAAGGCGTAACGATAGGTCTAACGTTAGGCCTAAATGCAGGCCAGCGCAAACTGGCGTAATGCTGCGCCGCCAGCAGTTAGGCTGGCTCCTTAGCAATGACGATTTCGTTGCTATGGAGCCATATGACGCGTCGCAGCCAATAGGAATGCAGGTTCCGTTTCGCTTCTACAGACAACCCCCAGCCAATGGGCGCGTTCAGTAGCGGCCCCGGAGTCAAGGAGTCACTGACTCCTTCCACTGGACGGCCAAAAGTCACTTCCGGTGCACGTAACTCCGGGGCTTCGGAGTCAAGCTCCGAAGCACCGAGTCCGGAGACGGTGCACGTAGAGTCAAAGGAGCCAAAGATGACGTCATTTCTTGACTGGTGACGATTTCCGGCGCTAAAAAAGGAAAAAACAAACAATATGGCGGGATAAGCTGCTTCGGTTCTGTCGCTGGTGCCCGGTTTGCTCGCTTTTGTTAATGAAAAGTGCTCAAGGAAAGACGAATAACGCGTTCGAATATCTTTTTCAGGTGAGGCTCTTTCGGAAAATGCATTGGGCCGTATTTTGTTTGGTTTGAATATGCTAATAAACAACGCAAACGTTCATTTGACGCCGTGTCTTGATCGCCGTTGCACGGAAACTCGGTAATAGTGACGATAGTCCTGTCCGCGCTCAACAGAGCAAAACAGGGTATGAACGCGACTTTGGAAGCCGGTTGGACACTCGCTGAGAGCATGATACCGTTTAATGTTTTGTTTGCGTAGCTAAATCGGGGTGCACGTTGGCTGAGGCTCGCTTCGGCCGACAAAACCTTGATCGCCGAGCGCGGCCGAACTTCCCGTGTGTATACGAATACATTTTATAGGAAGTTCGTTACGAAGGGCAGAACAAACTTATGGCCGTATAAAGGTATCGCAACCGGCGGGGTAGATTCGCTGAGCTCTGTATTTTGCGTGTGCTGACCAGACGACGATTTTCGTCGGCTTTTACAACAGTAGCTGCCTTTGCACCGCCAAGCGAGGGGCTCGATCGCGTTGCATCGCTTCGAACAGCAGCGCTGTTGTGTACAATCACCCGCTTTTTTTTTCAACGACTTTGTAAAGACTTCTTCAACCGGCGTCAAATAAAAGCGATCGTGCTCGCCATCGTCTGCTTCCAGTTTATTCGGAGACCGTCTGGCACTGGGGAGGAAGCGGAAGTTGCGTAGAAGCAGGTTTGGAGCTGCGGGGTTTTTTTGCCGTTCAGTAGGCGCTCCGATGACTCCGACTCGAGGCACTCCGTTCGGAGGCAAGGGAGGCGCTACTGAACGCGCCCAATGGGACTTTCCGTGCCGTTTTTCGCTAGCTTCGCTTTATGGCCCCCAGTTAATGCTTTCGCGTTAAAATTCCAGAAGGTGATATGAAACAGGGCTGAGGCATGCGATCTATTAACCTTCCAAATAATCGATTAATTTTTTATTCGCGATTAATTTGTTGAACCAATTATTAAGTAGGAAATATACGAAGGAAAAAAAATTAAAAATTAAGCGCTTTCACGGCGCGGATGTGAACGCGAACATGTGTATGAAGGGCAAACTTTAGGTGAACAATTTTAAGGTTGATTCAAAATCGCAGTTGTATATTGCGCCGTTAATTACATGTTCAGCAAAGGCACAAAAATAATGTAATTTTGATTTTTTTGCTTAATATGCATGAAAGTGAACGAGACTTATTATTCGAATAAATATTCGGTGAATCAGTGCGATTAGTCGGGTGAACATGGTTAACCGATTCATTTCGGTTTAAAGTATGTCAAGTGATAGTTTGTATGAAGACACTATTGTATGTTCAAGGACGCAACGGGCTCTCTGTGAAGAACCCAGTAAGCAGGACCTCATAGGGGAAGACAAGTACGCTTTGTCCAAATTAGGGTGCCTTCATGTGCGCTTTGCTTAGGGTGGAGACATCTGGCCATTTTATTCCCACTTTTACTTTTTTTTTCTTTTCTTTTTGTTCAGAAGCGCTGACTGTGCTATGGCGACATTTTGTTTTCGTCGATTTTTTTGT